CGCTCTGTATTTGAACTTCACAATGAACAGGGGATCATAGGATGCAACTTTTTCCGCAGCTAAACAGGGCATTGAGGGCCTTACAGCTTGATGACGGCCAGCTCCTTTGACCCCGCAGAGACCCCACTCGCCAAAGGGTTGCAGTACGATCTGTCAGTGGAGAGGTGCCATGCGGTTCCGTTATACCGATGAGGTGCCTCCCTCCCCCATCCCGTGACTTTCGGAGTCATTGTCTTACTAAAGAAGCTTGCTTCCTTAAAACTCCGTTGCATTACTGAATCTGGGGAAGCGTTTTATCTATTGAAGATGTGTTACCATTTAAACATCAGGAAACTAAACGCCAATGGTTGCAGACAAAGGGGTGGTCAGTAATAGGTCTAACCTTTTATTCTTATATATATATATATATATATATATATATAAGAATAAAAGGTTAAACCTATTACTGACTACCCCTTTGTCTGCAACCATTGGCGTTTAGTTTCCTGATGCAACCATTGGCGTTTAGTTTCCTGATGTATTCCACCACGTCAGTGGTGGAATACATAATTAATGTAACCAATTAAGCCAATCTCGATCAGTTGGCTGCCAGCATAAGTAATACTATTTGAACAGGAAGTATATAACTTTTGGGTTATTTGTAGCTGTGTAGCTGTTGTGGCTCTGATAATGCCGCTCGAGACAAACCCTGCGTTACCTCTGCCTCTGTTAGTCAATGTTAGGTTAGGTTAGGTTAGGTTAGGTTAGGTTAGGTTAGGTTATGTCAGGTTAGGTTAGGAAAGGTTAGGTTAGGTTAGATCTCCGGAACGTGGCTACACCAACGACGCTTCTATGGTATTAGTGCAACAACAAAATATTCTGCTGACTGGAGTGTTTCGACATTACTGCCATCGCAAAGACTTACACACGATGTTATACCCGAGTATGGTGTGGCACCCATGGTGCTACTGTAGGCGACGTGCCCACGCCATTCGCCGTGCATCGCGCCGTTCGTCGCACCCGGGCCGCTACGACCTGCGCTGTGGACGGTCGTGCGGGCCACGTGACCCCTGCCTCTGGCCAATCAGCGGCAGACTCTGGTTCAGGCCGAGCCGGGGTCAAGGCCCCGACGCGGGGAAGGGGTCAGTTGGGTCCCAGCTCCCGACTGACCAGATGCGCTGTTGTTTGTACCCTGTGCTCCCTTTGAGCCGCTGACCTTCCCCGAGTCGTCTTACCTGCGGCCGACGACTCGGGACACTCCCCGAGGGCTGCTATCCCTTTCTCCCACCAAGCTCTGCTGGGCGGCTCAATGGCCATTAGCCTCCGCTGGTGCCCTGGAAAATGTGTGCATGTGGGATAGTGTTGTGCATACAATATGCTAGCACGACTGGAGCGAGTGAGTTGGGGAGGTGCCTAGGATAACGACATAAGTGCTACGCGATAAAACACACACTACTACTGCACCCTTTTTGACCCGGGTACGTTGTGAATGGCCGCACGCTAACCCATTTTAATGAGGGGTCGAGGGTCCAACGGGTTAGCCATGCAGCGTGACCGTGTATGATCACGTGCTGGCGGTCAGTTTTAAGTTCCAAATGGGGTTGGTTACAGGCCGCGGGACGGTCCAGCGCCGGGTGAGACGCATTAGAAAAGAAATGTTCAATCATTACGCGGGTCCAGAGAACGCAAGTATTTTTAGTACGTCCATTGATAATAAAAGCAATATGCGTAGAAGTTTGGATTTGGTCTAGACTTTTGATAGTCTTCACCAGGCAAGGTGACTTAAGGTCATTATAAGTGGCTATAAAAATGGAGCTAGATAAAGAAAGCGGGACATTCCACATGACGATGCGTAATAAAAAACATAATGCGAGGCACCGCAGTCACGTGGTCTAACAACTCCTGTCGATATGCACCAGTTCATAAATATCAGATTTGTAATTTCGTTAGCCTCACAATCGTTTACGCAAAGTTCATGTAAAAAATTACGGGGTGCATTATTAGACACGTAACAGCTGATTTCGGGACGTACGCGGGTCTTTCTGTACAGTTGGTCTTGAGAACAAAAAAACATACTGTTCAATCTCCATTACCGATCATCAGCGATTCGATCATCACCGATCCGATCGCCACCGATCCGATCATCACCGATCCGATCATAACCGATCCGATCATCACCGATCCTTTCATAAACGATCCGATCATCACCTATCCGATCATCACCGATCCGATCACCACCGATTCAATCATCACCGATCGGACATAATGCACTGTATGAGGTCAGGCAGCCATCTTTTCACTTGCTGCTTAAGCACCAAATAGCGCACAGACAAAACCAAATCCAGGCTCTTTCTACAAATTACGAAGAGCAGCCTGCATGAATTCACATGTTAGGAGCGTCGGGACCCATGGGGAGAACTGAGTCAGCACGTCTCACCTGTCCTCGGTCATCTCCCTTGGATATTTGTGCAAAATAAAACCCAGCAAATTCAACAATCGCAACAAAACAAGACAGCATTTTGTTCCAAATCAATAATTAATCATACACGGAATAATGTATCCAGAATTTCATTATTCAGCATACCAAAACGGTACAAGGCGACTTAAAAACAACCACGAAGGACGCTTCTTTGTACACTTAGCCCCAATACCCAGCACATCTGCACGGAAAAGGAGTAGGCGACATTTTATGACGAGAAGCAAATCGCATTTGTGTGGACTATGTCGAATACAGGTGTTCGCTCTCGCCGAGAATGGGTGAAATTGAGGCATGCCAATTTACCCCCGTCTCGGATCTCCCCACTCTCCCCTATCTCGTTTTGAGGAGAGCACGGGGTGCAGATCTATGTTGAGTGAATATTCTCGCAACCACACCAGGCTGAATGAACAAGTGTGAGTTATTGTCTTCAGTTATCACAGGGGAATCCAGGAACACAATGATGATTGTCAGAAATTTTACAGTGTTGCAATATCACCAGAGACCAAAACTGGTTGAAAAGTGTTGCGGGACATTGGAATCACGAATAGTGGCTAACTGAGCCCGCGCAGAATCATGTAGTAGTCCAAAACCGCATTGGAAATATCAAGACCGCCTCAAAGAACAGAAGTAAAATTGTTACAAGGTTGTTGTTATGCCGGTTTAGGATTCCACAAGGCACTAAAGAGTGCAGAAATTGTCGCCATCGATCTTGCAAGCTCAAAACCTTGTATAAGTCATGTAAAAGACATGCGTACTTTATTGCAATCCTACCAAAACTTGCAATAGCGCAGCGGAACGCTGGATCACCCGGTTGCACGTGACCAACGCATCTAAAGAGCAACGCTCAAAACCAAAGCCCAGTGACTGCTCAACGCGCCAGCAGGGCATTCAACATAAATCGTGTGAGAGAATGCTTCCTTCAAAGCGCATATAGAGTCTTAATATCAGCCACGCAGCAGCTTAAAGTTTACGTGCTTCGCTCAAAAAGCGGCTTCGAAAGCAATCTTCAAAAACCGTGTCTTCGAAAGAAAGTCTTCAAAACGAACCACTTAAAAGGAACGTTTCACACTTGAAGATGCTGAAGCAAGCATCAGATATCATGAAACGAGCTCACTTATAAATGTTGGTATGCTATTTAAGTGGACAGGATTGCTCTAGACGGCACAATTCCCTGTTAAGTAGATATGCTCCCCAATTTGCCGTAGTTAACACGCGCTCGGGTGGGTGGGGGGGGGGGGGAAATTGCTCCCTCCCCAAAGGTTCTCCCGGAATGGTTTCCGAGCGGCGCAGCCCAGCCGGGCCAAATTTTGCATAGGTGTAAACCTTTGAATAACAAATTGTCTAACACCAAAAATTGAGATGTACCTTGTAAGGTCGCTGATCTATGGCAGGTCAAAGTCAGACCATAATTTTGGCGAAGGCACGTTCCAGGGAATCGTTCAATCCGATCAGACAGCGGAGTGTTTGACGAGGCCATACATCTCTGAGATACTTTCTTAGGCAACACAACAATTGAATAAACAAGTAGCATTGACCTAGGCTCAGGTATGAAGATCAGACCAATGTCAAAACCAACCTGTTTTATTTCTCTCGGGTTTGCTGTATGGGCTGGCTTCTGTTGCTCATTTAGAATGTATTGATAGCAGGAACCGCATTATACACCTTCCATGGACTTCTTAGAGGTCAGAATACGTCACTGACCTAAAATGACCCAGGCTACCATTTCGTTTTTAGAAACGTACTGCCTATCGTAATATTTGTCGTTTATCTAGATGCAAAGCTCAAAGCGGTCTTATATCATCTTGGTCATCATGGTCTTTAAAAGGTCAAACAAGGTCACTGGCCTTGATGGAGCGTGTAAAATTTTACTTAGAACAGTTGCTTATGTTCTAGGGATCTTTTGAATCTGGAATTTAACCTTTGTTTGACCTTATCTGACCCGAAGGACATGACCTAGGAACTTCAAATGTGATCTTTTATTTAGAAATTAAAAAGTGAGTTCACGTACAGGTCAACACACCCTGTGAGCAAATTGACCCCCTCCCTTAACCCAAGCGAAGTGTAGCCAACCGGCCACCAGGGGGCGTGTTAAATTACGTCATCGTACCTTGCACAACATTGATTTAGATCCAATTGACGGCCGTTATACCTGGAAATCGCTCTCACGAATGCCGGATATGAACGGCGCAATAAGCAATTTTTGTAGTGGCCTTGATCGCCGCATGGCTTATAGAATGTAGGATTTGAATGGCATTAATATGACCCTATGATTGCTAAAGAGACTTTGAAATACTCTCCCCGACATGCTTTTCCCATTCTCGCGGACTTGTTGTTCAGAACCTAGAGGGGCTTAGATCTGAAGAAGGGGCGGATCGTGAATTGCACCGAAAGGTCTTCCGGGTGGCTCTCAGTTCAAAACCCAATATTAATGTGGAATATTCCCTTTCAACCAAAAGAGCTCTTTGACTAATTTCCGCGCGCTGCGCGTAATTTTTGGATTATCCACGAGATAATACTGTCTAAAGGCAGCTGATATGCGATAACGAAATCGACGAAAGTGCGAAAGAAGCGTTCGGCTATTTGTTTTTACTTTAAAACGTATTTATTTCGTTTTGATTTCATTTCAAATAAATTGGGTCACGTCCACAGCGTGTTTCGACTAGTTTCCTCAACAAAGTGAAGTCGGCCTACTGATAAAATCATTTCAATCTCGCTAAGACATTGCGACCCATCTTGTATGGGCTTTTTAATCGATGGAATGTGTTTCTAAATCACGGCAGACGTGTCGGCTGAAAAAGCAGGTAAGGTCACCTGAGGTCATGGCATGACCTTTCAGGGTGTTCAGTTTCGACGATTTTCAAGTGTCGTATCATGTGTAACGATGATATCGGAGCACTGCGGAAGGCTTACTAATATCGTTGGGGCGTTTTAAAGACTCAACCTCGCATAACCCTGCCTTTGAATTGCCGTTAAGAAACCTTAGTCCTCACTGGGAGTGTTGATGCCAGACGATATTTTGTCGCAGACTCCTGTACATAAATGCATCGCATGTCTGTAACCGCTGAAAATGTGATGCTGCAGCGAAATATTAGTCATTAAGGCATAAAATCGAGTGGTTTCCTCGCTCCAACATATAATAGCAAGCATTTCACCTGCAGTAAACTATGGCAGGCTTTCTTAACGTGACAGCCATAAATATAGACTGTAATTTGTCCCTTTACGAATGGGCTTTTGTATAGCGCATGCTCTGTAGAGAGCATGCTCATTTTGTTTGGAGTTGGCGGAAGTCGGCCAAACGACCAAACGGTGATACGGCTTTCAATCAACCATTGGTTACACTTTCGCCGCTAGATGTCACTAGCGCAGGAAACGGACGCCTTACGGCGTGCAGTTGCAGATCCGCGCGCAGCCTTGAGTTGGGCCGTGGGAGCGGTCGGGGCAGGGTCCCCGCGTGCGGAGCCCGGGGAGAGGGCTCGGCGGCGGCTGTGTGTCCAGTGTGCCACCATGACGGAGCAGCTGCGGGGGAGCGGCGCTGACTGGGCCAGCTAACCTCAGGTGAGCGGGAAGGAGAAAGTGACTCTCCGGCCGACAAAGGCCGGTCACCTGGGGCTGTGGCGTTGGAAGGACAACACTGGGCTAATAGAGGGATTGGGGAATGTCGGAAAGTTGTATGTCGGGTGGCGGCCCTGAGTCCATAAGGTGCGGATGGGGCGGGGGGGGGGAACAGCTGCTCCTTCACTTCGAAAACTGTTGGCCCTGATGATTTACAAAATGCTAAGAAGTGGGACTTAAGGGAGTTAAACTCCGAATCCTGCGAATGAAATCGAAAGTAATGGCATTACTGACCTTCCGTCCGTCATGCCGAAGGCTACAACCGGTAAACGTGCAGCCGGTAAGTGTGGACTCCGGTAGCAAGTTGGCACGTCGATACGCTTCTTAGCCCAGTCTGGCAGCGCGCAGGCTGCGAAAATCATCCACATATGGCTGGTAAACTTTTCCTGAGCCGCAAGCTAGAGGACTTCACGGAAGAGGTAAACCCATGGTTGGTCATGTAGAATGCGCAACGTAAGACAGGATGCAGATTCCGGGGACATTGTTTCGTGTATTGATACGAGCATGTGCTGGACGTTGCAATACGGGGCAGATATTTCAAGACTTTCACGATATTACTGAGTGCAATTGGTTTACTCATAATTGGCTTCATCTAACTTTGCAATAATCAGCACAGGAGCTAGCTGATGTGAGTTTCCTGAAGCTCTTCCGTAATTTATAGCTTTACTGGAACAATCTAAGCATGCAGTCTGCGAAAACAAATTCTTAAGTGGGTAACGAGTGAGTACAACTGATTAAGAATGAGAAACGGGTGGGTTGGGTACGAGTCAGGATAATAATGTCGTCCGCAAGACTGCGGATTTCCTCTAACCGCAGCGAAAAGGTCCCGTCCATCTTGGGCCGGCCTCCTCTCGCTCGTCTGTCCCACTGACCTATAGGAAAGTGGTTCACCTTTTACAAACCCGTCCCTTAACCTTCGCCCTGATTGGCGTTTTTTATCACGCGGCTGGCAGGGGACCGATGCGTCCTCTGCCGTTTTCGACCTAAAAAAGATGAAGCTTTGCGGAAGCAAACCAAGGGATTGGTCTCCACGTGATCTCGCAATTAATAAAATGCTTTATGTGGCTAGGTTGACTGATCTCATTGCGCCAGTTGAAAGGCCAAATTTTCAGGAAAATCAGACTTTTCTACTTTACGGGGTCATATGTAAGATAGCTTGCTTTACAACAAAACAAAACCAACACAGATGTGTTTCTTGCCCAATTCTGAGTACAATGGTGCCCAGTTTGATGTGTTTTGGGTGTATGTATATTGGGTATATGTATGTGTTTTGGGTATATGTATATGATGGCTCCGTTAACACGTATCAGGGTGGCCAGTTGAATACCCTTCGTTCGGGTGGGCTGGGGGGGGGGGGGCTGGGGAGGGGGCAGGATACACTGGGTAAATTGGCCTTTACGTGAATTCAACTGCAATTTACCTGTGCCAAAATTTGAGGTTCCTGGGTCATGACCTTGGGGTCAAATAAGGTCAGATAAAGTCAAAATCCAGATTGGTGTCCCAAGTGCCTGGTGTCTCAAGTGGTTTGTAGTCTAAGAAACTACCTCAGATGTGTACGACTTCATCTAACACTTCGTTGTTGCATCGGATTGAACAATTCGCTACAAATGTCCTTCGCTGACAGCCATGGCCTGAATTTGACCTGCCATGGGTCAACAACCTAACAAGATGCATCTAATATTCTTACATCGATAGATCTGCTATTCAATTCTCTACAGCCATGCAAAGTTTGGCGCACGTCATGCTTTCGGAAATAATTCTCGAAAAACCTTCGGGAGGTTAATTTGACCCCCAGCCGAGTGCGTGCTTAATGTCGGCCCGTTGCGGGCGTTCCGCGGCATCGTCAGTTGCCGCCCACCGCCCGCGCCGGCCGTGGATCGCCGCGCAGTTTTCCAAAAAGAAAGCATCGCTACCCCAAAACCAGAACAGCCAGGAACACATTTTTGGCTGTCACAATACGCGCAATGAATGCCCCATAGCCTACAGAAAATTTGGACGCCGGCGAACGTCACGCCGGTGAGGTATCCTCAGAAATTCTCAGGGGTCGCATCGACCCCTATCCGGGCGACGGTTAGCAGAAATCAGGTGTAGCAAACAAGTCTAATAAGCATATTGCTATCAACTACAGTAAAAAATCAAGTTGTTACGTGTGAGAGCTGAAAATGAGACAAACCTTTTACGCGCGTGGCTGTAAGAAATCAATGCATGACTATTACTGTACAATTGGAAGTGTCATGGAAAATCGCGCCTGTGGTTATGTCATTAATTACATCTCCTTCCCATCGGTAAGTCATGGAGGGCTCAAGGCTGCAGACATGCGAACGGTCATTGTATTTTCACGACCAATCAAAGCAGGTTGGATATGCCGTTCTCTAATTTTCGGAAATAGGTAATGAGCTGAAGCACTGCTCATCGTGTATTATTTTTTTAATTTGGCCATTGTGCAGCACCTCGAGATGTTGGTTAACACACTTCAGGTAATGAGAAGATGCTAAACAAGGACAAGTTTTGCCCAGAATCCATATTTCCTCGGAAGATATCGGCGTGGTTGGCTGTGAGTCAGGGTGGCCTCCCAAAGCCCTTCAGAGATGGTGTCCATCCTTAGTAAGGCAGCGGTGAACCCAGGACTTATCAACAAGTGTGCAGTGAAGGGTTTTCTGTCACTCATCGCGAAATATCACCAGGATGGCAAATTTATGTTTTGGTCACATCTGGCATCTGCCCATTATGCTTAAAGCACCCTGCAGGCTGCTGGACGATCATCACATTCCTTACGCGCCGCGAGAGGAAAACCCGCCAATCCCTATTGCTCCATCACATCTGTCCGTATGATGAAGCAATAGGTGAATGGATGGGAGGTCGTGTCGCAGCAATTGCTAATGTTGTGCATCAAATGGGTCGCGAGAGAAATCGCGTAGAATGTGAAAAATCCATACAAATTATGATACCGCACAGATCCGTACAAATTATGATACCGCACAGATCCGTACAAATGCGCGCCCTTCTAGCAGATTTGGCCTGTATGCCGCATTCAAATGATATTGTCATAGTGTCATTGACGTGACGTGTTAAATGGATTGTTCCATATGTATATGGGGTTTAGCATCGAAAAACCTATCTTGAATATCATTCGGTGCATTTCACAGTTCCACGATTGTTGGGTACTTAAGACCTAAACCCCTGTAGTTTTTTAACTATACGTCCGCAAAGCTGTGGTGGCGGTGATTTGTTGTTTTAGGGCGCGTCGGCATCGGGGCCATTTTACGCCCGCTCGATGGCGGTTATCCACATCTGCGGCGTCCCGCGATAAGTGCGTCAATTAATAACAGGCAGTATCACTGGTACACTTACACTGAGGGGTGAGTAAAATGATGTTAACGTAAATGGGTGCTAGAAATGCGAGTATGCCCCCAAGTTAAGAACATGGGTCTCGACTGATTAGCCGATGAAGAGGCGCTGGAGGAAAAGATCGTCGCCTTCCCGTCTCAAGGCGCCGGCATGAGGCGAGCACGTGTTCTGCAGACAACCGGTCCCCGCGTCTGTCACACCGAGGCACATCCTTGCGCGTCGAGTAAAACGAGTGTGCCGCATGTGTATGACCCAACCGAAGCCTACAAAGGGGGACTCACTGGATGTACAGACTATTTCGGGGAAACTATTTCAAGGACACCCAGGCGCCATGACGCCATGATAATGCCATTTGAATTCTGTTATTCTGTTAGCTATGCAGCGATGGAGGCAAATCAATATAGGATTGCCGATTCGTTGGTATCTGGTGTTCGTGAGCACGATTTCCACAAGTAACGACCGTTAATTGACTCTCAATCAATGCTGTCCAACGTACGGTGACATAGTCAAATAATTGCTCATTAAGAGCTATATTCACCAGAAAGGTTGTGTTGTCTAGAGCAGTCTTTTCCACTTAAAAGTAAGTAATAGTTACAAGTGAGCTCATTTAGCCACATCTGGCGCTTACTTCAATATCTTCAAATGTGGATTATTCCCCTTAAGAGCAGTCATCATCCCCGGCAAATCACAAACTCCTGAACTGTCGCCACGCCTGTGCCTAGTATTCTGCCGCAACACCGTGAACTAAATCTAGTGACATTATCACCACGATGTGCCCACCTCTCGCCCAGCTCACGTTTGACACGACCACGCAAAGTCCACGTAGTTAACCCCAAAATAATTTTGGTTAAGCTCAATCCATGTATTTGTCGTCACGTCAACAGAGCGTACGTGCTGCTGTTGTGCCTTTGTCAAATGTGCTGTGCTGCTGTGCTGCCGGTTGCGCCAGCACGCCAGCGCTGATCCGACAGCTGTGCTGAGCTGTGTGTGCTGCCTTCAGGTAGCCGGCGGCGGGTGGCCCTCAGTCGGGCTCGGCCCCGAGCAGCGCCTGGAGGCTCCGGCTCCGACGCGAACGGCTGACCCCGAGCACTGACCATGCGGCTGCCCAGTTACGCTGTGTTCCGGCTGTCGTTGGTGCTGAACGCCGGCCTGCTGCTGATCTGCAGCGTGTGGTACATGCAGCACTCGCCCACCGAGCTGCAGCGGCCGGTGGCGGCGGCCGCGCTGCTGCCGCCCACCCCGGCGACAGTGCCGGACGGTCGCGACGGGCCGCGGCAGGCGGCGCCGACCACCGGCGCGGCGCCCGAGCCGGACACCACGCCGCGGCCGCCGGCCGCCAACGCCTCGGCCGAGCCGGCGCCCGACTGTGCGCTACACGGCCTGCAGCGCTGCCGCAGCGCTCCTCCGCGCGCCTACAGCGCCATGCGCGGCACCCGCTTCTGGGTCATGTACAACTTCGTGCCCGGCGACCGACGCTTCAACTGCGACGAGTCGGTGACGTACACGACGCACGGTGACTTCACGTTCGTCGACAATTTGGAGCCGTTGGTGCGGCGCTGGCGCGGTCCGGTGTCGTTCGGCCTGTACGCGCCCGGCGACGACTTCCTGCCGTCGGTGGAGGCGGTGGCGTTCCTGCGCCAGTGCGGGGACCCGCTCGTGGCTGAGCTCGTGTCGTTCCACGTTATCTACGACGTGGACAAGGTGCCAGTGAACGTAACGGACGCGGACGAAGTGTTGTCGCGACGCCAGGATTGTTCGCGGCCGCCCCCCTGGCGCGGCACCGTGTCCTTCCGCAAGGCCAAGCGCCTGACGTACCCAGTGAACGTGGCGCGCAACGTGGCGCGCGAGACGGTGATGACACACTTTGTGCTGCCGTCCGACGTCGAGCTGTACCCGAGCGCCCACCTGGTGGAGCAGTTCTTGGCCATGGTGTGGCGGAACGAGAAGGTGCTCTGCCAGCCGCGGCCGAAGGTGTTCGTCCTGAGCATCTTCGAGGTGAACGAGACCATGTCCCCGCCGCACTACAAGGACCACCTGACGGCCATGCTGAAGAACGGCTCCGCGGTGCCCTTCCACAAGCGCATGTGTGCAAGCTGCCACACCATCCCCAAGGCCAAGGAGTGGACCTTCTCCAAGGAGACCAAGCAGCTGGACGTGTTTCACGTCGGCAAACGGCACGCGCCGTTCGATAAGTGGGAGCCGATCTACATATGCACCAACGACGAGCCAGGATATGACGAACGACTGACGTGGGAGGGCAAGATGGATAAGATGGGACAGGTGAGTGTCGACGCGTCACGCGTCTCACGCTCCTAGCGCTGGGTGGAGATTACTGGGGATGCCGGTGGATGGATATTGGCCGGTGGCGGAATGAAGGTCAGATCCTATTATGAAACAACCATTACATCGGCCAGATATATTAGAACTGCCTTCTGCCCTCCCAAATAGGAGACGGCTTCACGTATACACAAGCAGTTTGTCTGAGATAGATACTTTTCAGGTAATTTTTTGCCAGGACCTTCCTTGGTGTAACAAAATTTGTGTCAAGGACATAAATCTTGTCTTGGCAGCGCATCTAGTGCTGCCGATATTTGTATTAGGCCCTACTTATCATATGTAGTGTATGTGACGTATCTTGGAAAACCCGTTATTGGAGTCTAGAACTTTGAAGTGTTTGTGGTGTTGCGGTCGCCCGCATTTTTCCTGTGAGTCATTGGTCTCAAGCGTGGTCCCTGTTCTGCAAATCTGCACAAACGACGGTGGTGTGGTAACACTAGTGTCACGTGGGCAAGCTAGTACCAACTTTGAAAGCGCTTACAATAAGCTATACGTGGTATGGCATACAAACCAAACAAAAAGCAACGTGTATTCCCTTCCTTTACAAACATTCGAAAGCTCCTGCGCTTGGGACTGCTATGGGTCTCATCTCCAATAGTCCACGCAAAGGTACGACAAAATTGAACCGCAGTATACGATAATATTTAAGCCGCGGGTAGACTGTCTAGGTCATGATTTGAGTGGCTCCGTTGCCCGGTGGCACGGTATGCTAGAATTTTCTCCGATCAGCTGCTCTTTCCGGTGGTCTGTCAATCCAGCTGTCCTTGTTCCCGTAGATCAACCGGTAAAGCGGCGGCCATCTGATCAACGTATGGGAGGGCTGCGAACATTAGTATTGCGTATAGGACCGCCCCATGCGGGCGTTCCTCAGCTGGCCGAGATGCCGGTACGGCCCTGCCGCGCCGTCTCTGTGGTCTGCGTACATTGTACATGACGCGCAAACCCCTGTGGATCAGCTTGACTGAAACTTCGAACCGATATCATCCACGTTGAACTATAATAACTCCTGGTGCGGTGGGCCTAGAGCCTTTGCAACAAACTATGCTTGGCAAACAAGTCTGGAGCAGTAGATATTCCAGCATATAAATATTTGGTCTATGTTATTTCAAAGTCTTGTTGGGGAATCAGGTCATGAAATAGCGTACAGCTCTATGTTGCGCTTACGCTCTAACAAAGAATAGGTGAAGCGATGTGAAAAAGGGAACCACTGTTCACAGTAATAAGTGGGACAAGTCCTTTTAATCGGAGCAGGCCAAAACCGCAAGTCAATGCAGCGAGATCCCCGCGCTTCCAGTGCTATACCATGGAGACCTGGGCTGCTGATCCCGGTGTTAGTTTCGTCTCCACGTCACTTCCGCTATGAACGAACTCCAATAACTTCCGACTAAACAAGGGCAGCATACTGAGAGAAGCAGAAGGCAGACAAAGAAAACAGGCACGAACGGAACCATGCCGCAGACGGGCAAACAAAACAGAACGGCGGACGGTGGGCGGGTGAGCGCGGTGGGTGTGAGCCCTGGTCTGGTGCGGTCCCTGTCACAGTTGCATCCGGCACTTCCACGTATGTACTCGCGCGTCATCGACCAAACGCGCCGGCGGCGGCGATGCGTCTCAGCACAGCTCACGGGTCCGAGGCGCGGGCTGCTGGGCGTCGTGCTCCAGGAGGGTGCGTCACGCACCAGGCACCTGTGGTGCGTCAGACCCGCGCGCCGAGATAGTCACTGACCGGTATGAGCCGGCCGCGCCGCGCCGCGGCGGTGCGTTCCGTGACCTTGGCAACGAGATCTTGTGCATTAGCTCCTCCCCGCGTTCTGGGACGGAGGCTCCCGCGGCGGCGGCTAATCTCTGCGTTGATCCCTGGTGATCGCGTTTGTGTCTGACCTTGGAGAGCGGGCAGTCATGTCACAGCTGAGTGCATTTTGAGGCAGATGCGGACCCTAGGGCCGCGTACGCTGACCGCGCCTCTCGGCGGCCAGCGAGGGACGTGCCTCTCCTGGCGGCTGGGGAGGAACGCGCCCCTCCTGGTGACCAGCGAGGGACGCGCCCCTCCAAATGGCCGGTGAGGGACGCGCTTCTCCTGATGGCCAGCGAGGGCTGCGTCTCTCCTGGTGGGCAGCGAGGGACGCGCCTCTCCTGGTGGCTGGCGAAGGGCGTACCTCTCCCGGTGGCCAGCGAGGGACGTGCCTCTCCTGGTGACGGGCGAGGAACGCGCCTCTCCTGGTGACCAGCGAGGGACGCGCCCCTCCTAGTGGCCGATGAGGGACGCGCTTCTCCTGGTGGCCAGCGAGGGACGTGCCTCTCCTGGTAACCGGCGAGGGACGTGCCTCTCTCGGTGACCGGCGAGGGACGCGCCTCTCCCGGACACGGACGCCGCGTGACGCTCCCTCGCCGCCTCATTTCCTTCCCGGCGCACGCTCACAATATCCTATTTACGCGGACAATCCGTGCGGCCACTCTGTTTCTGCAAATCCTGCTCCACGATAACAAACAAACATTAACATGCATGGGACTGTGGACACTGGCAAGGAACGCTGGGAGAAGCATGCCTGCCAAAGCCTCCAGAGTCGGCGCCTTTCAATGAAAAATGGAAAATTGCTTATACTGATGAAAGGTTGTGCGGCCACCGACACACCTATTCGAACTCGTTCACTGCCAGCAGGTCCTTGGGATGGGCGACACACCTCAGCTCGCCTTGTCGGCGGATGCGGTATTGGCAGCTATTCACGGTTTGCTTACACCAACCCATCACAGAGGCACTTCCCGCGTGTCATGACTTGCGGGTGTCCTCTGTCATAACATCCGCGAATAAGGAACGTCACTATCTGTGGCATGCCACACCACTAAGTGAGTGGTTAAGAACTGCGTGCGGCTGGCAACATCGTCTAGAAATGATTACGCGCTCCAACAACAATTATGGACGTTTAGAAGTCGTTCGTTCCATGTCATCGCGTGGTCCTGTTAAAAATATCGCATTGTTCCGCTCCTTTAAGCATACAATGTGACACCTTCGGCTGCATGGTGCGGTCAGTGTGTTGAATTCCGCTTTGCACAAATGGTCTCAGCAAGACTAGTCTGTCCATTTCGCCAACATCCGAGCAGCACGGGCGTGTGTAAGTAGGTAAGCAGGCCGTAATATGATCGACTTGTAGGCTTTGTTGGTGGAGTTCGGTCCTTGCGCCCGGTGCCGCTGGCTCTGACTATCGGTTTTAAATCTAGACCTGTTGTATGTATTGGTACATCTCCTGGCTATTGTCTATAACCACCCTTGAAAAGGACGGCGGCAAGACCTCAATTACTGGCGAGATGCAAGAGTACGGCAATTACACAAGCGAACCACTACGAGGCCAAAGACTGGTATCGTAGAATCGTACGTTACGACCACGATCTTTCAGCAGTGAGACTCATTGAGGCTGTGGATTGCAGTTATCTATCGAATTGGATAATCGAATGACTGATAACGTGATCACCGGTCCTTAGCACACAGCCAGTGTCGTGCTTTGATTGCGGTGCGGTGGACTCGGAAATACATGCAGTAAGCTCTCGCCTCTTTTGACCGATCAAAGGTAGCCGGATGCTGCGCGCCGCGCCATCATTTGTCTCCAACGCGTCATCCACCGCCCCCGCCACAACCTCGCGCCGCGCCGCCGTCTGTCCCCCGCCGCGTCATCCTCCGTTCTCCGTCTCCCTCGCTTCGTGCCGTTGTCCGTTCTCCTGCCTCAGCCCACGCCGTGGCGTCTTCCGTTCCCCGCCTGACCCCCGTACCGCGCTGTCGCCGCTGCCGGCCTCCCTCCCGCCCCCCCCCCCCCCAAAGGCAACAATACCGGCAATTACACGATATATATATATATATATATATATATATGTATATATATATATATATATATATATATATGTGTGTGTGTGTGTGTGTGTGTGTGTGTGTGTGTGTGTCCAATGGCGCGTCAGCTACCATGGCTATTTGCAACCGGCTCTGTTCTTGATTAAGACTGGCTGGCAGTCAAGCGCGTCACCAAAAAACAAGGGAGGACCAAAAAGCTGTCGTGCGTTCGCTGTCTCACCCCGCGCCTTTCCGTCGCCCGTTCCCTCCTCACCCGCACCCTGCGCCGTCTGCCGTTGCCTGTCTCGCTCCCCGCGCGGCAGCGGCGTCGGCTCCCGCCGAGCCCGCGGGCGGTGCGCCGCCGCCGCCGCCGCCGCGTCAGCTGGCCTGCGGTGGCGGCGGGGCTGCGCACCGTTCTGTGGCCGCCGGCGCGTGGCCTGCTCCGGCGGGTCGAGCGCACTCTCACTGCAGGGTGACCGCACCGGGCGCCAATCTATCGATCACGCGGCCGCTGTGCGGGCTGGGACCGCCGGCGGCAACACTGTCGGTGACTCCGGACTGGGGCTGGACCGGCTCCCGCGGCGGCGCTGCTGGCATCTGCCGGGGTGGGGCTGGACCGCTTCCGTCGGCGGCGCTGTCGGTGACTCCGGGCTGGGGCTGGACCGGCTCCCGCGGCGGTGCTGCTGGGCTGGCTCCCGCTGGCGGATGTCGTGGCCGGGGTGGGGCTGGACCGCTCCGTCGGCGGCGCTGGGCCGGTGACTCCGGGCTGGGGGCGGGACCGGCTCCCGCGGCGGTGCTGCTGGCATCTCCGGAAGTGGGGCTGGACCGCTTCTGTCGGCGGCGCTGTCGGCAATGCAGGGCTAGGATTAGACCGGCCGCCGTAGCGACGCTGTGGGCGAGTTCCACACGAGGACCGCCGACTTCAGACACGCAACATAATCCAGGCTGATTATGGCAGTTACAGCTGTCAGTTTTTCGTGGCACGGGTGTGATGCTGATTTATCAGGGCACTTGGTTGATATTGTTATGCTGACCCTCCATTCTTCCCACGACTTAAAGACAGTTATGAGTAGCTTTCGATCTTTGTAACCATTGGCCTTGTTACTAAGTGAAAGCCTCGGTACCCCGAGACATGTGCATTATCCATAGCACTATTAAACAATATGTAGCTTCCGTACCGGGTATTTTAAATGGGTAATATTCCGACAATTCACTCATATGGCACCGATTCATGATGCCACTCTGGATGTCAAATGCAAGGTATGCAGGTACGCAGTCTGTGAAGCATACACAGTCTTTTCTGTCGACTATAACTTTCTCATTTTCATTCAAAGACGTGCATAACGGCAACAATGTTCGTTTGACACGCCAGCTTCACTCAAAGTTTCTCGCCATCAAACCCATCCTCCTCCCCCCTCCATCCCAGCTGCCATGACCGCAACGCAGTCTTCAGGCGTCACAGCCGGCGCCAGTCCACACAGCCTCGAGCGACGTGAGGCCTGGTGGAGATCGCGGACTGGCAGATCTAGCTGCTGTCGGCACGCCCGTGCGGGCACCGCGAGCCGCGCCGGTCACTAGGGCAAGCCGCTTCACTCGACCGATGGCCGAATGTGCCGTGACGCTGAATAAATCAGACCCACCTGGAATGAGCCGTGGTCTTCCGTGTCGTTAATATCGCACTGGCTTCGTGAGGCTGTCACGCTGCCACCATTACGCCCCGCTTCTGGTGAAGGGTAGATGGTTCGCCCTGAGTTGAAGCTTGAACCGGTGAGCGGGTCACCGGGGGGGGGGGGGGGGGGGGCACTGTCCGTGGTGGTCGTACGTCGTGCACTAGAGACGGGACTCTTTGTTGACATTCATCTCGTTGTATGCATGCAGCTTTCATATACAAGGCAAGAAACTGGGCGGGGCCGCCCGTGCGACTCCGCCTCTCTCCACAGTTTAAATGCACATTAAGCTGGTTTGACGTGTTTTCTACCCACGGGCCAAATGGCTGGTAGCTAAGAAGAGCGAGTGATGAGAGATGAGGAGAGCTGAGGTTATCGTAGTCCTCCCCCCCCTCCCCCACTGCACACCGGCAACTCTCGTCCGTTGGTGCTCCCAGCGCAATCTCCTTTCCGACAGGGTTACGCGATGTGCCTGCTCGACTACGACTTCATGATCCTGAACAATGCATTTCTTGTGCACAAGCCGGGCATCAAATCATACAAGTAAGTAAATCTCCTGACAGGCGGGGTGGCCACTTTGCCAGTTCTGTCGGCTGACCAGAAGGCCGTACCAATCGGCTCGAGGTCTGATCCCACCGCCCGGCAGAGGGTTGAGTCCCATCAGTCGTTCGAGGTCTGGTCCCACCACCCGGTAGAGGGTTAGATCCCACCAGTCGTTCGAGGCCTGATCCCACAACCCGGCAGAGGGTTAGATCCCACCAGTCGTTCGAGGCCTGATCCCACCACCCGGCAGAGGGTTAGGATCCCACCAGTCGTTCGAGGCCTGATCCCACAACCCGGCGGAGGGTTAGATCCCACCAGTCGTTCGAGGCCTGATCCCACCACCCGGAAGAGGGTTAGATCCCACCAGTCGTTCGAGGCCTGATCCCACCACCCGGCAGAGGGTTAGATCCCACCAGTCGTTCGAGGCCTGATCCCACTACCCGGCAAAGGGTTAGATCCCACCAGTCGTTCGAGGTCTGATCGAGATGACACCTGGGATCGGACCGCTATCATACCTCACTGGCGGGTCCAACCAGACGGTCGATCATCAGCAGGGTCGCCACCAGATTCACCGTTGAATCCCACCCGTCGGCCGACCGTTAGATCCTACCAGCCGGCCATTATCAGATCCCATCAGCCAGTGCAGTGTAAGATCTGTCTAGTTAGTCATGGTGGACGCATCGCGCTACGCTCCGGCTCCGTAAGCACGCAACACTCACTTAATAGTGAGAATTGTGTGCATCGATCAAAAGAGCGCTAACGTCTTTTCCCTGTTAGGCCACAGTGAAGCCCGGCGGTGTCCGTTCCCCAACAGGCAAACAGAGCGCTGCTGTTTGTGTCGGTGGGCCACACTGGGCAGCGCCCACCCGTGACCTGTCTGACCGGCCGCCGGCAGGCCGGACAAATGGAGGGACACTCTGGTGGCCAAGCAGCGTCGGTTTGTCATCAACGCCGCCCGGCTGGAGCTGGACCGCATCTACGGCCAACGAAAGCAGTGTGTACTCAAGTGATGGCGCCGCGTGTGCTCTGGCGATGGCCACGCTAGCGTCCCGCAGCGCGGCCGTCCCAGCCTCACGCGGGGCCACGACCGACTGTGGACCGGCTACCACGCCCAAACTCCTGACGGGCTACTACGTGAGGAACTCTCGGCCAGCTGCCATGTGAGGACCGACCGTCCCGTCGCCATCTCGACTGGCTGCTACGTGAGGAGCTCGGAAGCGACTGTTCCGGCTGGTGCTGGTCTGAGCCGTCGCCCACGTCGCTGATCAGCCAGCCCGGGCCGCTGCCGCCGGCACCGGCGCTGGCCGGTTAGCACTAACCCGCACTGCGCCTCGGCAACGCCGCGCGGCACAAAAAACGAGGCAGCGCGCTGCCGCGCGCTCAAGAAAAACTGGGTGGCACGTCAAGGCCTCCACAGGCAAAGCCGGGTAACCCACGATGCCAACTACACTGGCCGCGTTGCATCTCCTAACCGTGGCCTTGCCATGCAACGAAGATCAATGTCCGATGGCCAAAGCTATAGCGCGCGCGCGCTTCGCCGAGCCACATACACGGTGTTGTGGCGGCGGGCGCGGCGCGAGCAGCGCTCCAACGCCCAGCTGACTTAGCCCAGCTTTATCGCATTGTCGACCGTTTTATATGTTGTCCATTGTGCGTCTGTTCGTCGCGATGACAGGGACGGTTTCGGAGATGGCCACCGGACAGGGTGAATCAGAGGCGGGACAGAAGTCCAACAGAAAAAGGTACTATTTGTGTTTAGAGTCGCCGTGCGGCGCGACTGGCTTGATCGCTGTAAGGAGCGCGTAAAATGGCCGGGTCCGCTGTCTGTGCGCGGTGTCGCAGTTTTGATACCAATGACATCAAGCGTCACCCGAAAGTTTATCCATAGCGTGAATCACCGTGGAGGGGCATTATTGACCACATCGGTAATTACGGTCCGATGTTTTACCAAAGTACTCTGTCGCCGTACCTATAAACACCACATTCACCTTAATTGACTCATGCCGACCAAACCTTTTTAGAACACTGGCCGGCTCACGTTAGTCACGGGAAGGCAGCCACGCCGTCCCAGCTTGTACCAGGCCATCTGTTGGGTTAACAAGTCCCGCCGACCAAACGAGCGCACCTGCTCACAGGTGCCTGATCGAACCGGACAAACGTGTCTGCGGCGGGGCGTCGGCCGGGCGCGCCCCCGCCCAGTCCGCGGTGCTGGCCGCCCGGGCCTGTGAGCCGTGATTTGGTACGTCAGCGGTCGCCACCAGAGGCGTCGAGCGCTGAGTCCTGCGAGTGATGGCTGGCGGCCAGCGTCGGCGAGCGGCTGCCTGCCTGCCTGTCTGTGTGTATGTCTGTGTCGGAGAGCGTGCTTCAGGAGACAGCTGTGTGCTCGGAGGAACGGGCCTGACGCAATGCCAGGAAACTGTGTGTCAGCCTTCAATGTTGCCAAGAGTTGGAAAGACCAAATACATGTTTAAGTGTCGAACATGACTCACGAAGTGTGGAACTTGGCCATTGCCAGCATTACCACATTTTCCACTTCCCGTGAAGCCTGTCTACGCAAAGGCCCCTGGTTCAGGTGTGCACGCTTCGGCAGGGCACACTTACGACAGGCTGGCTGGTTACGACAAGAGGCTCTTGTGTGGCCGAACATGTGACACTTGAAACACCTTGTCGGGTTCGGTATAGAAAGGAGCACCTCCTCTTTTACGTAACCACCTTGTATTTAGACGGTATGTCAGGACGGTGAAACGTGAGCGCTGCTGTTCAGGAGACCAAGGTCAGCACCACTGTCCACTTTGATGCGGCGAACATCCGTCACGCCGAACACGCGCCGTCACGCCGACCATCCGTCACGCCGAACTCACCCTGTCACGTAAAGCATCCGTCATGCCGAGCATCCGTCACGTCAAACTCACGCCGTCACGCCATCAGTCACGCCGAACTCCTGCCGTCACGCCGGCCATCAGTCACATCGAACCCACGCCGCCACACCGAGCATCAGTCACCCCGTCCTCAGCAAGGCCGTCGATAATCCCGGCATCGCTCTCGCCTTTCACATTGAAACAGTTTACGCCTTTTGACGACTTTTTTGTTCTGTGGACTCTTTCATCCACCGCGACAGACACGTCCCACTTACCTTCCGAATCCCACACGCAGTACACATCCGTTCGAAGTCGTAGCCCGGTTCACCTCCTCTCCGTCCTCAAACTCCGTCTGGATCTCACCGTCCCTGCACTTATCACAGCGCGGGACATTTCCGATTCCATTCCAGCTGTCCCCTTTGAAACGGTAAAAGGGACTACAACGCCTTCTCAGAGCCCCAGATATGACAATTCGAGGGGTAGAATGATAATTCATGAGGTTGGCACATCACCAGCTGTGAAAACCTCGTTCGGCTCTCGTTTCAGGATGCGGGTGCTTTTTCATTTCGAAATTGCTATTATGTCGTGTGGTTCAGCTTTCGACACCGAGGTTCCCCACCCACCTCGAAGCCCAACTGGGGACGGTTCAACACGGCCTCGAGAGGTGGTCGCCGCTTGGACTGCCCCGGCGCTACCTGGTACTAACGAAGCATCCCGGGTGGCTAGGTGGAGCCGGGGAGACTGCCGCCCCGTCCTGACCGTGGTTCGGTGCCGCCGCCCCTCGACCCCTTGTCACCGCGCCCAGCCGCGCGCCCAAGTGGAGATCCCCAAAGAGCACCCGGCATACAGCGCAGGCGACAAGCCGCTAGAACCGTATGGAGCCCCACGCCCCGCATATCTTATGCAAAGTACAGTGCTGGGGCGCGCTGCGACTGACCCGCACGGCGCGCCCCTCAGCAACCAGAATCTGATCAACCCGGGGACGCGGGCGAGGTGGCACGGCGGCCCCGATACGAGGATGAGGAGTGGTGGGCGGCCGGAATGCGTGAACACGGGTGGTGGCGAGAGAGCGGATGGGACAAGGAGCGGGAACTCACGTACCGGCACGGGCGCTAGGCCCTGAAATGTACACCTTGCGCTGTTCACCATTATCAAAGCCGGGAGCTGAGGGGACGATACTGCCTCACACCTGCCGGAGTCGGTGCCCCTGCAGGGACCAGTACCCGCAAGAAGCTCAGCGATATCTAACATGTTTCTGTCAGTGCAGGCAAACACGCTGGTTGACCCTGTCATGCGTAATCTGGGCCCGATGGTAGTCACTCAGCAATACGCAGGCAATAATGTTATATTACAAAAATGATCTTTAACACATGAGTTATGTACAACATTAGAAACACGCTTTCCCTATCACACTTCCCAGCAGCGGCTTTGACGCCGCGGCCTCGCGGTCGCCATATTTGGTAGCATTGCGCAACAACGGAAAACAGCCTCCGCCCCACGCACTCATGGAAAGACAATTTCAGAACCGATGCCCAGATGCAGCAGACTAGTAGTGAGTCGGCGGACGCGTCTCAGGCACGAGACGCCCGCGCCCCTCCAGAGCCGGTGCACACAGCGCACACGCGTTGTCCCGATGCGGCGCACGGCCAGCCGCGACACATGATTGTCTGTCACACACAGTTTGCGCTCTAAACAGCTTGAAGCGCTGTAAGTTCTACGACTTCCACACCGTCGTGGCCGGCTGGACAGCGCCGGCTCGGAAAGCGACCTCGCCCGCCGGCGGAGCGCCACTGTAAGTCAATCGCGAGTCGCAACAGCGAACATGATCGGCAATGTCGGTCGGACGAAAACAGCCTCCGCTCAGCAACTGAGCCTTCGCGACCACTACTGATGCGAGTCTCGGAGACGTCTCGATTCGTGCGGTAAGTTCGCGGCACCAGACAACAGCGGCATGGCTATCACTGTCCCCTTTTTTCCCTATTTCAGAAATTTCTTCAGACTGGTTTGCATGGATGGCTTCAGGTTCAGAGTACTCGCCAAGCAAGCGCTGTTATGTGTACCCTGAACCTACCACCCATCAAACGTCACGCAGTTCAGTGGATTTTTGGGAGGAAAAAATAGAGCCTCTAACTTTTACCAGGCAAACATGCGAATTGGCACGTCGCACAATGTTGCAACATCGCCTCCCACAGTCTGCATTTGAGACGGCAGGTTTGTGCACACAGCTGCATTCTCGGAACTTCCAGTCAGACAGTTGCCTTTGTGACAGGTGAAAGCAATCCGCCCGGGACAAGCGGACAGTGGAAAATGCTCGTGGGAGGGATAACCAGGCACAGCTCAAGCGCAACGTCCCGCAAGCACGATACAAACACAAGTTTAAACGGACTGCGTGAGAAATTCAGTACATACATTGGGATCTGGCCAGTTTTGTGTGATTTCATCATTCATTAGCTGAGAAGCCATTGTGCGCGATTTCATCATTCCTTGGCTAGGAAGCCATTGTTTACCATGGTTCGCTATTGTTTGCAACTCGTAGCACCCCGAGTTACAGACCGTGGCCATGCATCATGTGCAGATGGACGAGACTCCCGCGCATGGTGTGCAATTCTCAACGATGAGGCCAATTTGGCAAGCTGACAACTTGACCTATCTTTCCAAACAAGGATAAAACGATGGTCAAAAAACGTGCACAACAGCTAGTGTCGCTTTCTTGAACCGGTACCGCAGGTGTCCTTCAGACTTAAGTCACGATGTCGTGAGTCAGGAGCAAATGGGGGAGGCGCCAACATTTCTATGGGACCGCGTGTGCTGGGGCTGAAAAGATGCACTTTAAAATCCCAATTTATACTTAATCTAACAATTAACGTTGCAAATTTTGGGTGGACCATATGCATGTACAGACGGAACAGAACTTTTGGAGCCTACGAGCCACAAACCTGCCACACAAGAGATACTGCGAGAACCAGCAAACAGCACAAATTTCAACGTCTGTTTGACAGGAAGCTTTCCGGTGAGAGGAGTCTCAAGCATCCGATACTGAGTTAGTGCCTCACTAGATGGATCCCTATGATTGGAGTGTTTAATGACCGAAACGTCTTTTTCAGCACCACAAAACCACATATCAAGTATTGCTTACGACATCAGCTATGAACATACATGGCCATGGCATCCATATAGGAAAACAGCCCTGCGGCATTTGGAACCAAAGCCGGCAGCTGACGCGTCTCGACGAGAACAACCTAATAATAAGACGAAGCCGACTAGTTCGGTGGTATCTGGAGCCCTGCCGTGCTCAGTGTTCGGGTGGCCCAGCGCGTTGCACATGTTCGGTGTTTGTCGGGGGGGGGGGGGGGGGGGCGGTGGCCAATCGGTCTGGCGGCGGCCGGCTCAGTCCTGCCCCGACTGCCACAGAATAGCCGCCGACCCGGTCGCGTCAGCTGACGCCAGCACACGGACTTCGCGCCGCCCCGGCGCGCCGAAAACGTCCTAGGGAACTCCGCCATGACGACGCAGCGAGACTGCGGCTGAACGGCGTCCGCTAGCGCCGGCTGAAAGCTACTGACGTCCACCCGATGGCTACAGTACAAGCCGTAACTTCAGGTGAGATAGCACGAGCTGCGAAGTGGGACCACACAACTGGCAAGGACAACCACATCTTCTGATGATGAGTCGCTCAGGTGATGATCGTAATTGACGCTACGTAGGCCGGTGGTACATTGGCAAGGCGAGCGACACGACGGCACAGCAGTGCATCGCTTAAACAAAACCCCACAACAAACCCAAACTTACAAGTTATCTGCCGATGAGGTCACGCGCCCGCCTTAACAAAAACCCGGAGAAATCAGATCCTGATGTGATGACGTACACGAGTGCGCCCCTGCGGGCGGCGGCGGCGCGATGGCCCGCCACGCGTGCGCCGCTGCCGGCGCCCTCGCCCGACGGCCCGTCACACAACGACCGTCTGGAGCGTCTGACGCGGCTGCCAGCTGCCGGCTGCCGACCAGGTAATATCACTGTGGCCGCGGACCGGACGCCGGCCACACCCGACCGGACCCGACCCCGCCGCCGCACGGTCAGATCCCGCCCGTTACCCCGACGTCACGCGCATCGCGGCCGGCCCGTGCCGCCGACTGTGGCTGTGCACGTCTCCGCCCGCGCCAGGGCCGGCGTGTCCGCCGCGCTCCCCGGCACCGAGCGGTCCGGCGCCGTTCACACCTCCGCCAGGGGCCAGCGCTCCTTGCAGCTGGGCCGCGACGCCCACCGCCGCCGGGCCACGCCGTCCCGTTCCGGCACCTATAGCCGCTGTCGAGGGCCGGCAGGCGGAACGGCCAAGGCCGGCCGGGCCGACCGCATGCCGGCGTCGCCGCGAATACCGCGCCGCCGAGAGGCCACCAATGAGCGGGTCAGCCTCAGTACATGGCCTCGTGCCCGGTAAGGATGTAGAGGTTCTTGTTGTCGCCGGCCGGCTCGTCCGCCTCGGCCGTCGGCACGCTCTGCAGCGTGATCACCCTGGAACGGAGCGGACCGACCGTCAGCGGCACGCCGCGCCAGCACGCGGAGAGGCCGACCTCGCCTCACCAGCGCACGCGTCCTCCCACTCCCAACACGACAGGTAACACCGGAAACCACACCACGGCCGCCGGCTTCGGCCGATCTGCCATACACAACGGTCAGCCGGTGCGCGTGTTGCGAAATGCAGACGGTGGCGGCGCTGGGTGGCGGCTGGCTGCAACACATTTTGCACAACCTGTTGCAAGTGTGAGACCACCGATCTCGGCGTCAATCTCTCACGTCTTAGCGAGTCATCCGGGAGGGGGGGGGGGGGAGGGGAGGGCGACAGCGCAGTTACTGCGCAGGCGAGCGGTAATGACATGCGGCCCTATGCATGGCCGGTAGACTGAAACAGCAGCCGAAACGAGCCACCCCTCCCCACCTACCACCCACCCGTTTCCAGTGTGTGAACGTCTCAGCCCTCAGCCCGGCCCCTGGCGTGTCGTCACCACCGGAGCCAAAAGCGGCGCCTGGCCGGCTGACACATTCCACCGCGGCCTGCGCGGGACTGCACGGTGCGAACCGCTCCCTGCCTTGTCCAACCACACGTCGAGCGAGCAGTCGAGACCGGCGCGGCACCGTGCCCGACGCCGACACGCGGCTGCCCGCTGCCGTCTGCGGCGGCGCTCGTGGCGCCCGCCGGCTTAGACGAGCCGGTGCGGCGCGGCCCAGCGGCGGCGCGCGTGCGTCAGCACGGCCAGGCGGCGGCAGCAGCGGTGGGCCTCGCCAGCGCGCCGGCTCCCCACAGGCTGCGTTGCGGGCGTGCTGACACGGCTTCAGAAGCGGATGGAAGACGCGCGCGCCGGTACGAAGGAGGGGGAGGGGGGGGGGGGGGGCGAGAGCTCGTGACAACGGCCCTCGCTGGTTGATAAGCGGCGCATTGATAACACTCCCCATGGCATGACCCATAACTTCCTTCCCGGTGATAAAACTACGTCTCGCTTCACCACCGCTAGGCTTGATGGCAACGTCCGCTTAAACGCCGCAGCACACGTGTCGTGAAAGCGCAGGCCTCGGAAAAAAAACTTGGGGAAACTTCCCCGGCGAGGACGTATTCGGGACCTCAGCGCCTCGACAGCTGACGAAACCATGTCGCCTGGGTGGTTATCAGACGACTGGCGAAACCGTCGTCTTGGTCGGACCTGCTTTGATAAGCCACCGACAGGCCACCGCCGGCAGCGCAGGCCGTCTGGCGACGTGAGTCCGCCGCACAGCGCGCATCGAGGCGAATCCCACCGCTGAGTACAGCGTCCGGAGGACGCCACAGAGTCCGAGCCCGACCCCGGGCTCGACTTGAGCTCGGGGTCGGGCTTAGGCTCGGGCTCGGGCTCGGGATCGGGCTCGGGCTCGGGCTCGGGCCCGGGCCCGGGCTCGAGCTCGGGCTCGAGCTCGGGCTCGAGCTCGGGCTCGAGCTCGGGCTCGGGCTCGGGCTCGGGCTCGGGCCCAAGCCCGAGCCCGAGCCCGAGCCGGCGGCGGCGGCGCTTGGGGAGTCTGGCTTGGGCCGACGCCACGACCACACCAGAGCGGGCGAGCCGCTGCCGCGTCCCAACGGAGACGCGTCACCAGAGACCACTGCCCCAGTTGTAACGAGCACACCACGGTTGGGGAGCAGGGCCCGTCTGGCGACGGAGCATTCTGGACTTCAGCGCTCCGTTCCATTCCCGACACGCCAGCCGCACTAGTCCGTCCAAATCCAGACTCTGGGTGGAACATGACGCCTTACATGGAACCTTACATGGAGCCTTACATGGACGGTTTCGGACCTTGAGTTTTGGTCTTTTCGTAAGGTCTATGGAGTTCGATCTCCTATTCATGGATATATACATCACGTCGACAATCCTGCAAGCGTCACTGTCGCTCGAATGCATCAATACCTAACAGGCCAGTGTATACATATGTGCATTCGTCTCAAGACAAATCAGCAGCAAGGCCATATATTCGCTTGGATTTACAACCAAGGCCTCCCCAAAAAGAACAACCGGGCTCATATCTAAGCACCATAAGTACATTTGCAATGCGAAGGTGTTTTTTACTTCCACCTCATAGAATAAAAGGGAACAACAGACCAAGATAACATCAAAAGGTTTCACGTCATCCATCACCCGTTCAATGATTTGGTTTCAGCCTGATCGGCGCAGGTGTGAAAAACCATGTGATTTTAAGAACCAAAGTGACTGCATATTACACATCAAGTAATTTTCTTCCTCCACGTGGGTTATTGAAGTTTTTTTTGCATGTAAACCACGATAATAACCAGCACTCCTCCATGCCATGCATAATACATGGCTGCTGGAAGACTCCAACGGCACCCAAACGGCGCCATATTGGTCAAAACTCACTTAAATTAACATGAGCATCAGATAGACGGCATGGTGCGCAATCAGTGCAGAAGGTGCAAGTGGTCCATTACGGGCGGAGGCTCTCAAGTGGCAAGGATTACCTGGAACAGCGCTGTCACAACTGCTGCTTGCCCATTTGTCAAGACTGTCCGGAACTGCGCAGCTCTGCGCGGCTCTACGCGGCGATAACAATACTTTTGTAGCGCTAATAACGTGAAACAGAGGCCAACATGATGAGACGCATCAACGGTGGCCCTAGCAGGATGGGTCACCTGATCACCACGCCCATCGTGACGCAAGAATGACGAAAGAGAAGCGAAACCGCGTTCCTAAGTCATGACCTTCTGGTCAAATAAGGTCAAACGGGGTCACACTCTGCGTTAGTCTCCAAATCATCCCAGAACCTAAATGCCTCTTCTAGGAAAACGTCACATGCTTATTTAAGGTCAGTGACCTTGTTCGACCTTTTGAAGGTAATGGCGACCAAAATATGATTTTGGTTTGCTTTGGGTTTTGCATTTGAATAAGCGGCAAAGATTAAGCTAGGCAGTATGTCCCGAAAAACAAAATGCTGACCTGGGTCGGTTTGGAACAGTGACCTATTCTGACCTTTGGGGAGTCCATGGAAAATGCATGATACGGTTTCTGTTATCCATAATTCGAAATAAGCACCGGCAACTAATCCATGTAGGGAGCTCTTTAGTGATACAACAGGTTGGTTTCAACCTTGGTCCGACCTCCATACTTTACCCTAGGTCAATGGAATTTGTTCACCCAAATGTTGTGTTACTTGAGAAACCGTCTCAGAGATGTGTTGCTTCGTCTAGCACTCAGCATGAACGATTCCCTAGAAACTAACTTCGCTGAATCCATGGCCTGACTTTGACCTGCCATAGGCCAGCGACCTTACGCGATATGTCTGAATTTGTACTACCAACCGATCCGCTCTTCAACTGCCTGCATGCAGAATGTCACGTGGCTACGCCGCGCAGTTGGAAACCACTCCGGAAAAAAAATTCGGAGCGGGGTCAATTTGACCCCCCACCACCCATCCGAGCGCGTGCTAATTGTCTTTCCCATGTTGAGAGACGGGAATGCTTTTGGTTCTTAGATACCACGCAAAATGGGTTTTCATTTCGGCACTGAGACTCCCCACAATCATCGGAGCCCAGCTGGGGGACGGTTCAACATTCCCTCGAGATGGTCGCCGCCAGGGCTACCCCGGTGCTGCATGGGGCTAACGAAGCCTCCCCATGGCTAAGTGTGGCCGAGGGGACCCTTCCCGTCCTGCCTGTGGTTCAGACGGACCGGAGCCCCGCAGCCGGCCTGCCGCCCGCCGCGGCCACCGGGTGGAGGGAGGGCGATCCGGTCACGACCGGCACGCCAGCGGCCGGCGCAGGGGTCGGCAGGCACAGGTGATGGTGGCGTGACGGCTCGGGTGACAGTGGTGTGAAGGCCGAGGTGACGGTGGCGTGACGGCTCGGGTGACACTGGTGTGAAGGCCGAGGTGACGGTGGCGTGACGGCTCGGGTGACAGTGGTGTGACATGGGGTGACGGTGATACGGCAGGCTGCCGTGACGGCCCGGCGTGACGGCCAGTAGCAGAGGTCGCAGGAGGGGGCTGCCGTGACCGGCGGCTGCGGGGACGTGTGCCATCGATCAGGCTCGGCGTCGTCACGTGATGCCGACGCTCCGGCACGAGCCGTCGCGTCCCTCGTTAATTAATCAGTCGCCGGAGGCGGGACGGCCGCGCAGCCAGCCGACCCACCGGCGGGCGGGCACCGGGGTCCAGCCGGACGGCACGCGCCAGCCGGACGGTCACGGCGACGCAGCCCACGGGCGGCACGCAGCGAAACGTGGGATAACGGGACCGGACGGCGCAGCACGCGTGTTGTTGTTCATTTGAGTTTTAGGGCGCGCCGACTGCTGAGGTCAATTTGCGCCAATAACAGCTAAATGACTACCTACGTGTGTAAATGGCTAAAAGATCTTATATCATGAAAACAGCTGAGTCGTGGCAAGAACGCGAAAATCGTCAGCAGGGATGTCCGGTTACGTAAGAGCTGGAGTATCTCGTCCGAAGCAGCGTGACCTCTCTTGGTTGGTTATTTGGGTTTAAAGCACATCGACCGCTTGGTCATACGGAACCCATAATAAAACATCCATCAAAACTTTTCAGAAGCCTAAAAATTTCCTATACGCGGTATGAACTCTTCAGGCGGGCGTATATACAGTGCAAAGCTTGCAATGCGACACGAACCTAAGCATCTGTCCGATACAGGATAAGGTATCGCAAAGAAAATCGGAGAGCGTAAGGGACGGCGCCGCCGGGCCAAATACCTCAGACGCCCGACGGATAGTATGGAACAGCATATGAGCGCCTGTTCCATCGTGAGCGTGGCATTACAGTGGCGACATCGTGGTAGTTCGTTGCGACATGGAAGGCATCGATGTGTGGCAAAAGCATCGCCAATCCGCAAGGGACATAAATATCTCCCTCCCGTCTAGACTTTCGATAGGATGACTGTCATTCCTGACCAACCGGCTTAATGCTTTTCAATTTACTGGTGCCCATCGCATTCCATGTGCTTTGCCATTCTCCTCGCAAAAAATAGAGAT